AAAAAAAGAAAAAAACACACACACACACACACACACACACACACACACACACACACACACACACACACACACCCTCATATAGTTATTTAAGTCTAAAGAGTCAGAGATAGTTTCCCTAAAGAGATGACAATTGAAGTGAAACGTGAAGGAAATGAAGAACCAGATATTTTGTTACATGCGAGAAGAATGATCTAGGCAATGGGAATTTTGAGAGCAAAGGTCCTGGGTGGCAGTCTGTCTGCCATGTTCTGGGAACAATAAGAGGGCTCAGTTTGTCTGAAACCAAGTGGGCAAGGAGAAATAGAGTTGGAGAAGTAGTCCAAGCCAGATCATCCAGGTCATTTAGATGATGGCAGCTAATCTCCAAAGAGGGCCCCAAACAATTCCATTCCTCCCTGAACACGAATGCTGTTTCTCCCATCAAGAAGTGGAGTTTGTACTAGCCTTTGAATCTGGGCTTTGACTAACAAAATGTGGAAAAAGTGACATTTTGGGGCTTCTGAGCTCAGGTGGCTCTGCTCATTCCTTCTTAAGAGTCTTGAGCTACCATGTAGGAAATTCAGGCTCCCTGCTAGAGAGAAATCTGGAGGATGAGAAACTCTGCAGAGAGATAGGGTGCACAGAGAAGCACCTAGAAGCCTAAGAGTGACATGATCGGACACCTCTTAAAAGGATCACTGCTGTGTGGAGAACAGACTGTAGGTGAAATGAATGGAAATAAAGAGACTAGTTAAGAGACTGTACCACAGTATTGCATGAAAGAAACAATCGTTTGGACTAGAAAAGTAGCTATAGAAGGGTGAGAAATAACTGGAATTCAATGTATGGTTTGAAGTCAAGGCCGACTGAATTTGTTGATAGACTGAATATGGGGTATGAGAAAAAAAAGAGACAAAGACCATACCCGAGTTTGAAGCTGGGGAACACTAGAAGACTCAGAAATCAAGTGAAACTTTCGTTACTCTGAAGAAAGTTGGTTTTCTCTAAGGATAACCACAAAGTGGTACAACTGGGTACTTTTCAAAGTAATTTGATCGGCCTTCAGCATATTTGTCTGAGGCAAGCCCATTTCTCCAGGGAGACCCATGTTACTATGGGGTTCATACCTGTTCATACATAGTGAATATGCTATAAAACTGTATCAAATTTGGTTAATCAACTTCTGCTATTTAAGGTACAGGCTTGTCTTAATTTCTAAATGTTAAATCCTACAATGCAGGCCTCTTTACAAATGATTCCTGATACACAGATGAAAGTCTATTTTTAAGAATGGCATTAGCCACTCCAGTTAAACAGAAAGAGCTGAAACCTGTAAACAGCAAGCCCTAGTGTACAGTTTGATGTTTTCTAGCATAAATGCCACTGTTGTCTATGACATAGACTAAAAATGATTAATAAGAACCTTGTTGGACACAGGCCTTGGGCTGCTTTTTGTGTAGGTTATTTGTTTGCTTCTCAGAAAAAGAAAACTTGTGAAATATGGAGTAAGATTTAGAGAGCTAACAAGCTTAACCAAATGCCACTTTTCATCCCAACAACCAAAACCTCCCACTCCATCATCTTTCATATATTTGTCCTTTGTCTTGTAAAAGGTGGCAATGGACAGGAGTTGCCACCAGAACATTGTTTTCTGGCTAAAGACTAGGAATGTCAGTAACAGAGAACAATAACCAGCAAGGTACTGAAATTATTCTCTTTATACTCTAAACAAACCAGCTGTTTCTATAATCATGGAAAGTCATGCTTTGATCAGTGGCTGTCAGACTATTAACATGTAAAAGTGCCTAAAGACTTCACAAATTTGGAACTATCCTGTTGCAGGAGCTAAAGTTCAGTCAAGACTTTCCTATACTTTCAACAATCAAATCATAAATGGGACCTAAAACATTTGACTATTAGAAATACAGTATAAACTGAGAGTTAATGTATTTACCACCATTTGGGCTATTCCACAGCTGGTGCCACAGTTTAGTCACCACCCCTTTGACCACAGTATTTCCTTGTGAGGTAGAAATACGCACACCTCAGATGCATCATAACTTCGGTTTAGTTGCTCTTAACCATTACACCATACTGTATTAAGAGCTTTGGCCCTAGAGTAGAAACCTGGTTTCAAATTCTGGCTCCTCAACTTACCGGCTGTGTGACATGGAATAAATAACTTGATTTTTTCTGAGTCTGTTTCCCTTTTCTGTAAAATAAGGATAATTATAGGATCTATTCCACTGGGTTTTTGTGAGAATCAAATAAAATAATTTAAGAAAAGTATGTTTAGCTCACCTGGAACGCCGTAAAGTGCCTGATAAATCAACAATTTAGTGACACTTAAACACTGCTGGGGTTGGACTCTTACTCTCTTTTTGAAAATACACCCTTCTTTCTCACTATTAATATATATTTTTGTATTTTAATTTTCACTGAAGTATGATATACATAAAAGTACATAATTTTAAGTGTGTACGGCCTGCTGAATTTTCACAAGATGAACATACCCATGTAACCAGCTCCCAGATCAAGAAACAGTTTATTGTGAGCCTCAGAAGCCTTTGGACTCAATATTTTTAAGATGTTCATTCTTTCCAATTGATCTATACAGAATATCAATCAAAATCCCAGCAGACAAACTGACAAGCTGATTCTAAAATTTTATGGAAATGCAAAGGACCTAAACTTTAGCCAAAACAATCTTGAAAAATAAAAACAAAGATGGAGGACTTATATCACTGTATTTCAAGGTTTTCAGTAAAGCAACAGTAATCAAGATATTGTGGTTTGGTGTAAAGACAAGCATGTAGATCAATGGTCCTGAATAGAGTCCACCAATAGACTCACATATAGCCAGCTGATTTTTGAGAAAGGTTCAAACATTTTTTTAAAAGAAAAAAATTGATAAGTTAGCATGTGGCAAAATTTTAAACTCTGGTTCCCAAAAGAAATAGTTAAGAAAATAAAAATACAAATCTAGGAGAAAATATTTGCGACATATGTATTTGACAATGGATTTATATCTAGAATGTATAAAGAACTTTTAAAATCACAATGAGACACTACTACATACTAACTAGAATGGCTAAAATTAAAAAGACCAACCATATCAAGTATTGGCAAGAATGAGGAGCAACTGGGTATCTCATACATTGCTAGCAGTAATGTTTAATGGTACAACTACTTTAGAAAACCGGTTGACAGGTTCTTATAGAACACATACTTACCATCTGACCCAGCAATTCCACTCCTAGGTATTTATCCCCTCCAAATGAAAACATATTTCCACCTAAAAACTTATACATGAACATTTATAGCTGTTTTATTCATAATAGTCCCAAACTGAAATAATCCCAATGTCCATCAAGAGTTGAATAAACAAACTGTGATAGATCTATACTATGGAATGGTACTCAACAACAAAAAGAATGAACTACAGATACACAAAATGATAAAGATGAATCTCAAAAACATGCTTAATGAAAGAAGGCAGGCACAAGGAGTACATATTTTATAATTCTACTTATATGAAACTCTAGGAACAACTAATCTAATTTATAATGATAA